CCTAAGATGGTGTTGGCTCTGCTTTGCCCCACCTCTCACTCTGCTTGCCTCTGGTGCACCTTCATTCTCACATAAACTCCCTGAGTATTTGGGATGACTGACAGCCCCAAGACAAGAGCTCATGGTGGACCCTGACTTGCTCCAGTTCAACCACTGTGGGTGGGAGGATGGACATTGTTACGTAGACTTTCCTGGGGCTGAGAGACGGAAGAGCCTGACAACTGCATGGTCACAGAGTTGAAGGGAACTTCCACACGAGGGGCATCTTGGGCAGCAACACGGACGTGGGGTTCTCTGCACCACATGGCTGGTGTTAAAGGGCTATACAGGGCAGGGCTGGGAGGGGGGCAGGCATGACCCACCCTAGATAAGGGGCAAGTGTGGGCCTGTCCCAGGAACCAGCACACTAGGGCCATAGGGGTGGGGTTGCTGTCTCTGAGGGGCTTTAGTCATGGAACACTCTCTGCATGCACCATGACTGGACCGGAGGGCAGGGCATTCTGTCATGAACACCCTACCAGAACCTGAAGGTGGACTGGGGAGGAGGCCAGTGCTTGGGGTGGGGGAAGCCCAAGTGACCCCATGGCCATGGGAAGCAGGCTTGGTGGGGAAGGGGGCCTGGCCAGAGTGGCAGATTCTGGAATTACTGACCTGTGCCCATTCCCTGGCAAGGGGCCCAGCCACTCCCACACTCCCATTTTCTAGAGCCACAGAAGCTAGGAGGCCCCTTGAAATCCCATGGAGGAGAAGGAGTCCCTTAAAGGACCATTGTCCCGTGTCCCCAAATTCAGGCAGTGGGGATAAGACCATTCTCTCACTCAGGTGCTGTCACATGTACAGCCACACTGGAACGCACGCCTGCCCAAGGCCTCTGTGGGCTAAGTACAGGATTGAAGGAAGGTGAAGGCCCTACCTTGAGTCCTCCAGCCAAAGCTGGGGGCCTGTCCCAGCACTCCCCAGCTGTCTTAGGTGAGGCAGCCACACCTGGGAAAGGAGACTGCCTGTGGCCGTGACCTGGCTGGCCCTTGTCTCGCTTTGAGGAACTGAGGGGCCTTCTCCTGGTAGTGGGATGTGCAACAGTGGCCCTTGTGGCTCAGGCTTTGCTGTCATCCAGGGGGCTGCCCTCTGGGGACATGGCACCTCAGGTCCTGCCTTGGCCACAGCCTCCCACTGGGGTTCCTTCAAGTCCCCCAGCCCCAGGCCTGAGAGGCCCTTTGGGCAGGGCTGAGCCTCACAGCGGCTGCCACCTGCTGTCCAGTGGGACGTGCACATGCCCTAATGGGCATTGGGGGCAGGGCCCAGCTCTGAGGGGGGCCTGGTGTGGTGGGTGTCCTGCCTCCCTGGCCACTGGCCTGTCCTGGGCAGCCAGGAGTCGGAAGGGTGTGCCGGCAGCGTCTTCCTCCCCTTGTTATTTGGCCCCTGCCCTGTTTCCTATGGGGCATTGACAGGAAGGCCCTGGAGACTTCAAAGGGCAGTGGCTTTCCCAAGCCACCCACCCCCAGCCCTGGTCCCCTGCTCAGGGACACATATCCCCTCCAGAAAACCATGTGGCCCTTGGGACTGGCATACCTGGCAGAGGCTCTACAAGTGCCTTTCATCACTGCCGGATGGGAGGGACGGTGGGAAGGAACTGGGGGAGCTCCACCAGCTCTAGCCCCAGGGTGGGCAAGGGAGGGGTGCTGATGGAAGAGGACAGTCAGAGAGGGTGTGGGGAGGACGCACCTAGGCCCACAGCCAAGCCACCCACCCCACCCCTTTGACATCTTCCCTCTGAATCTCCACCCACCACCACCAAAGGTGGCTTCTGCAGCCCCCAACCCTGGGAGACTAAAGCCTGGCGGGTGGCCTCCTTCCCTCAGGGCTGGACTATGTCTGAGCCACTGGGGACTGTCCCCACCAAGGGCTTCATGAAACCCCAGACCAGAGGCTCTGATAATCAAGACCTGCGGGTCCTTCTCTTCCATTGGGGACTCCCTCGTGCTCAGCTGGTCCTGCCAAGGCAGGGAGTTGATAAAGGGGGCAGGGGAAAAAAAGACAAGGCCTTCCAAGGCCCAAGTGCAGACCAAGGCAAGGACCAGGGGCACCTGGGCACTGGAGACCAAGGGAGGAGCTGGCGCGGCAGGCACGGGGGCCGCTGCTCCCAGCGCCCACTCCCCGCTCCCTGTGGCTGCAGGACTCCCCTGCAGAAGCGGGGGCCCCCTGTCTGTGAGAATGGGGTCTCACGCCAGGCCAGCCAACCCGGATCACAGCACAGGTTCCTTTGTCCCCTGAGGAGTCCCTGTCCCCCTGCAGCCTCCATCCTTCCTGCCTGGCTCTGGTGTTCACTCCGGTTCCCTACAGCCGTTGTTGTGCAAAAACCTCCTAGTCCAGCCCAGGCCAGGCTTGTGCTGAGGCCCACTCTCCACAAATGCCAACAAGCAAGGAACCAGCTGCGGTCCCAGGATGGGCACAGGTAGAAGGCAGTTGATGCCACATCTGCCTGAACAAAGTTTGGGGCCTTTGGGGGTCTGACTGCGGAAGGAGCCAGAAACTGGAGGCTGGTGGCTCAGGGGAGGGGACAGTGCTCTTGAGCAGAAAGGTCCTGAGATTGGCTGAAACCTTACACTGCAGCCTCATTCAGTGAGTCGTCGCGCCCCCCCCCCGCCCCGCCCCCTGGGCCTTGCAGCAAAGCCCCGGTGCAAATCCCCTAGTAGGATCCCCCCCACAGAGCAGCAGGCAAGTGGGCCATGCCCAGGTCACAAAGAGGATACAGCCTATCCTGCCAGACCCTTGTGCCCGGCTAGTTCAGCCCACTGCGTGGTTCGAGACACTTGTAGAGCAGAGGTTCAGGTGGGAAGAGGCCCCGCCACTCAGCTGAAGATGCCAAGTGGGCTGGCATTGGGTGGGTACCACACCCGACTGCCGAAGCCTGTGTGGGTTTTTGGCCCAGGGTGCCGGCACTGAAAGCTGGCCTTTGGGCAGGTCTCAGGGGGAAGGGGGAAGTGGGGAGTAGTTCTGGGCTCAGAGGACACAGCCCCAGGACCCAGGAAAGCAGCCTGGGGGTGGCGGGCTCCTGAACAGCCAGGCCACTGCTGTGGCTCAGGGGAAGCCTGTCGTCACAGGAAAGGTGTCCCTGGGAACAGCAGCTCAGACTCATGGAACAAAAATGCTTTACTGTGCAAATCCCACGCAGGCCCCAGGGCCAGGGCCACAGCCCGTCGGGCCCCGACTCTGGACCTGCTCTGTGGTCCCCGCCTGGCCCAATTGCCAGGGCCTCCTGTGGAGTGTGCAGGTGCACATGCGCATGTGCTGCGTGCGGTGAGCCTCCAGGGCCACGGGCAATCAGGCACTGTGATGGCCCCAGCCTGAAGACGGGTAGGGCGGAGTGAGGTCCCCACCTGGCCAGATTTACGATCCACACAGGTCCACACAGTCCTTCCCGCTGCGGAACACGTGGTAGATGCTGGTGGGTGGGAACATGGAGACAGCTCCAAGCAGAGAGCCCACCTGGATGGCCACACCAGCTGCCAGCAATGCCGGCCGGCCCCCACCATGCAGCAGGGAGCTGGCGGCCACCTTCACGTATGAGAACAGCCCCAGACACAGCACCCACGACAGCACCTGGGAGGGTATACAGCAGTTGGCTGAGCTTGACACACCCCACTCTATGGCATACCTCCCCTGTCGCCTTCTTTTTCTCAGTGTCCCCAGTATACTTACCACAAGGACCATCCCTGCAGTGGTGCCCACTAGGGGTGGGCAGGGGCTCAAGACTGCCAGAGCCATCAGGTAGGCCCCAAAGAGCACACCCAGCAGAGAGAGACCGCCCAGCCCAGCCAGAGACCTGCCAAGGGTAAGCAGAACTCAGGGCTGGCTGTGCCACAACTGGGCCCCACCCTGAGATCCAACCCCAAGTGGCATAAGGCCCCTTATGCACCTGCACAGCACGCCCATGGCCAGGAAACAGGCGAGGGGGTTGGCGGCGCTGCCCAGCACAACGGCCAGGTGGTAGGCCAGGCGGCCGTAGGGCAGGCAGGAGAAGCTCTGAATGGCAGGCAGCACGCCGTTGGTCAGTGCATTGGTGACAGCCAGCAGGCCCAGCAGACAGATGCTGCGGGCAGAAAGCAGCCGAGGGGCCTCAGGGTCTGGGCTGGGCGTGGTGCCCGCCGCCTGGACAGGAGGCTCCTGCAGTGGCAAGGCCGCCTCCCCCTCCTCCTCCTCCATTCCTGGGGCTCCCACCCGCAGGCCACGCCCTGGGCCCCCTGCGGGCATGGATGATGGTGACGGCAACAGCAGCAGGAGTCCCTGGAAGGCAGCAGCCGAAGTGACCAGAAGGGCGGTTAGTGCCCAGAAGAAGGTGCTGGCAGAAAAACGCTCTGGAAAGTTGTGGGGAGGCCCAGGGGTGCCATTGGTGGGGGCTGGAGGGCACTCAAGGCGGCCCACGCCCTGCACAAGGGCCAGCACACAGGGCAGCAGGGCACTGAGGCCCTGACCCAGAAAGAAAGACCGCAAGAAGGGAGGCGGCAGGTGGCTCAGGAAGGGCAGGAAAGTGACGTTAGAAGCACAGCAGGCCAGAGCCAGCACCAAGGCCAGCGTCAGGAAGGCCACGGAGTGGTACTGCCCCGCCACTGTTGCCACCTGGTGCCACAGCAGGGCCAGCAGGACTGTGCCCACCACGCTCAGTGCCTGCACCACCTGGATGGGGACTCGCTCCCCCTTGCCCGGGGCCAGCCGTCTCCACAGGGTCACCACCAGCAGACCTAGGTTCCCCAGCGCCACAAGCACAGAGAGGTACGAGGGAAGGCTCCAACCTGCAGGGAAGGGAGGAGGCCGTCAGAGGCAGGATGTTAAGGGACAAAGCGGCAGCCGCCCACCTTCCAGGGCAAACTCCCACTCACTCTCAGGAAGGTCTTTTACCACCACAGGCAGCTCCACCCAGATCCCGTTAACAGCAGCCCAGGAGCCCATGCCGAAGAGGGCTACCAGCAGGTGGGTCAGCACTAGACGGCCCAGCGGGGCTGCAGCCATTCAGCCAAGGCTGGACCCTCCAGGACTGAGCAGAGGTCACAGCTCCTCCTTCCCCACCTAGATCCAAAGAAGGCGCCTCCTCTTCTCCGAAAACGGAAGACCTTTTGTAGCCTGAAGGAAACAGACGCGCATGCGGGATCACAACCAAGAGACACGCGTCAGAAGGCTGACAGGCCGCCACGACCGAGGAACGTGGCGAGTGCCCGGGGGCTGCGGGCGGAGGAGACAAAGCATACCTGCTAGCACGAGCCGCCGGTGTCCGGAGCAAGGCCGTCAGGCACAGAAGCAGGAAGCCGGGCCCGCGGCGCCACGGCCGGCCCCAGGGAAAGATGATGAAAGAGGGAGCCGACTTCCGGTCTGAGTCGCCGAGACCACCACCACCGTCACCCCAACACGAACATGGGGACAAGGACCCTGGGACAGGGGCACCGCTCTCGGGAGGCACGCATGCCGTTGCTGCTTCTAAGCCCACCTGAGGAGTCCAGGGTTTCTGTGAGACCCAGGACGGCCGGACCGAGGGGGGACTGAAGGGGTGTGACCGCAGCGGGCGCGGCCCAGAGCCGCCCAGGGCACCGGGGTCCCCGCGCCTCCGGCTCCAGCTCCCGCGCGCTCCCCGACCGGGCGGCCAGCTGTCCCGCCACACTGCGATGGCGCTCCCTCCAGCCCAGGGTCTCGGCCTCAACCCAGAGCCGGTGGGATCGGGAGCGTGGCCGGACCACAGCACGGATTCCAGTTCACAGCCGGGGACTCGGGAGAGCCCAGGGCCGACCCGCCCCCCACATGGCGCCCGCAGGAAGTCCCGCCCCTTCCGCCACCGCACCCTCCCCTTCCGCCCCACTGAGGCGGCACCCGGAGGGCTGCGGGTGGCCATGGCTCCCGGGGCGGCCCGGCGGGCCCGGCGCCGAGTCCGGGGCGCGCCGCGGGCTGGGGCGCGGGGCCGCTCGGCCGAGGACTGGTGGTGGGATCAGCTGGCGCCGAGCGGCTCCGGGTACCACCTGCTGCAGTCGGACAGCATGCTATGGGCACAGGTAGAAGGCAGTTGATGCCACATC